GTTTCTCTGTTATTGAGATCATGCTTAAATTATGTTATATTTACCTAAATTACATACTTATTGCATTGATTGCGATCTTATTTCTACAAAAATGTGGCCATGTGCCCCGATAGATGCACCATGCATTGCAGCTTATGGCATAAAGAAGTCTTCCCCAAGCATATTAGCACAAATGCGCCGTACGGCTCATCCACAAGCCATGGCGTGTGGCATAAAACTTTGTCCTTCAAATTTTCTTCCTATTTTTCACATCTAATTGACCTGACTCTCTCATTTGGACTTGTATTTAGAGCTAAAATTATAATCAATCACACCTGTTAGACCTCTTTAGCCACATACTAATAAACTTAATTACTCTAATCAAGATTTTTTAATTAGGTTTAAAATTTTGAGGATGTTACATAACTTGGGGAATTCTTTCTTATACTTTTGTGTGTTAATTGATTTATTAAGCTATTCTTGATAGTTGAAATGTGTGAAATTGAATGAAAGGCAAGTGTGGCATGACTTGCTTGAAAATCCACCATAATTATCTTGTAAAGTTTAATGATATGTTTTTCTTTTGGAGTTCGATGATGTGATTTGTTAGTGGATTTTAATAATTACGTGTTAATTGAAGTTTAATAACTTGATGTGTGAATGGTTCAATGAAATAGAGTTGTAAAGTTCAATGATGTGATTTTGTGAAGTTCAACGAAATATGTAGTTGAGGAGTTCAATAAGGTATAGTAGAATGGAGTTCAATGATTTGATTATGCATGTTAATGTGATGTTCATTTATGAGATGAGTACAATGATGATGATGTTATGCATGCCTTGAAATGTTGCATTATTTTGTATCGCATGATCATGAGTGGCGAGAGTTCACTTTGGATGAGGAGTAGGAGATAAAAACCCATATGGTAAGGCTATCATGGGAGCTCGATGGTTTGTATAAATTTAATATATTATCATTTCACTTGTTCGGTGAGGGACTGTTCTACTGGTTCAATGAGAGACTCAAATCTAACTAGTTTTTTACTTGTTCAACAAGGAAGCTAGTATAAGGAGAATGACACCCTATAGTGTGAGAGATAGGGAAAACCGTGACTCACAAGTGAGTTAGGCAACCTTGTTCGAGTAGCCTCTCACACATGAATGGCTAGGGTAGTCATATAACATAGATGATCACAGTGAGTTATAGCCCACAGTTTCATGTCAAAGGCATAAGGAGGATATAAGGGAGGTATAATCATGCATATAATGATAAAAAGGCATATGGTTACCTATATTGTGACCCTAATGAAACAAATGATGTGATTGTTAAACTATATTGTGCATTTTAGGCCCTAGAGTGTATATGTACCGATTGAGAAATCTACTACATGGCCAAAATACTAGTGCAAGTAGAAAGTTAGTAAGATTGTGATTATTGTGGATTGATATGATGATTTATGAATTTAAGTCTCCGGCTTTTGTTTTTGAGATTAAAGGGTTGAGCATTGAAAATGTGATGTGGTTGTTATTTGTGAGTTATGGTATATTGTATAGGTCTATTTTGGTCTTTTGAGTGTGGTATAGGGGTGAAATTGGTTTTTGGTACTCGAAGTGTGAATTGGGCACCTATGTCGTGTTATATGATTGAAAAGGAGTAGTTTTTGAAATGGGTGTCCAAATTTTGATTGACAAATGTCATGACTATGAAATCAGTATCATTAGTTAGAGTTAGGAAAAAGCTCTCCATAGACACCTAAATCACTTCAATTGGACATCGAATGGAGAAATAAGGCGCGTCAAAAATTCATCCCAGTTGCTATCAAATACGTGCAATGCGTCGTAGTGCATGGCACAGAGACATATAAGCCGTGACTAAATTGATTTGTTACCTTATCTAATATAATTTTCACACTTTTGTATATGTTTATACTGTATTTTGAATTAGTTTATATTTAATTTCAAAGTTCAAATAATTAAACTTGGGATCCTAACTTTGAAAAGTTTATATTTTTAAGTGAAGTTATTGTTGGATTGTAAAGTGAGTATTCTAATACTTTTTTTTAAACCTTTTGATTTGTCTTTTCATTTCTACCATGGTTAGTATTTTAATAACTTGTTAAAGTCTACTACTATGGTTTGGTAATTGTATGGTTTAATCCATATTTATTGTTAAGATTTTGGCTAAGTGCCTGAGTAATAAGGAGAATGTGTTACACTTATAGTTTTATTAGGTTTTGCTTTTATTTCCTGTAGCTTTTCAGAAAGATTGGGCAATCTAAAAAACAAAGGTTACCCAATCTTTCTGAAACTACAGGGATTAAAAGCAAAGCTCGATAAAACTATAAAAACCAAAAATATTTAGCACCTTAGGCACATGACAACTACTCATCTAAAAGACAACCAGATGATAGGATCTAAACTCACCTAGGTCACCAGAGAAGAAAATAGACTTGAAACCATAGTCTGCTAATTATTATTAATGCCACTGTGAGGATGGAAGAGAAGAATGGTGGTTCCTCCGTGGAGAGTCTTGAACATGCATATTATTATTTACAAATATTCACATTCAATTTACAAGTCATTTATAAATTTATGTAAAACTAGTTTGAGGGATTAATATTTAAAAAATAATTTATAAATTTTGGATGGATATTTGTAAATACTATTTAAATTATTAAATATTAAATTTTTAATATTTTAACAAGATTTATTAAATTTTATTTTAACAATATTTTAAGGTGTTTAATGCTCATGAAAAAAGAGTTCAAAGATAAGTTAGCATCGAAAGATATAGTCAGTCTTACCCATCATTGTACGTGGGCCCTATAAAGGTTAATGGGTGATTAATGAAAGGGTTTTTTCTTTTTTACTTCTTGAAAAAATGGTTTAAAGGAAAAATTGCCTCATATATTAGTATAATATGTCCAATGCTTAAAAAAAAAGTTTAAAAAAAAAACCTTCATCCTTTAAAATAAGATAGATTTTATTTAACTTTGAAGCATACGTACACCACAAAGAAGAAGAAACCTTTTAGAAAAGGCTGAATATTTAAAATAAGATAAAGCAAGTACGACGGATGATTCTTGGCTCTATGAAACAAAATGTGTTTAGAGCCACGAAGCTATTTTCAAAGCTCGTGGCTTTGGAGGTCTTCCTAAGATATTTCTTTTTTCGATGCAACAAATTAAGATATTTTCAAAATACTTTTCCTATTCTAAAGTATAAACAGTTCTTTGAAAAAATTCATATATCAATAACTTCTCTATTCTCATTAATATATGTGTGTGTGTGTGTTGTTTTCTTTTTCCATCCTTACTCTCAATTATTAATACATTTTATAATAAGTGAGTTAAATTTACATAATAATTTAAGTTAATAAATATAACAAGTAAAATGAATTTTTCTTGAAATATATTAGATTTTTTATATTTTCAATTAAAATTAAAAAAAAGTGTTTATGTTTTAGATTGGGAGTATATTCATGATAGTATTTTACAATCTTGGGTGTTTGATTCATGCATAACCCATAGAGGGGAAAAAAATAAGGGGTGAGAATCAAAATCCCTACTCCCTGCTCCCTAGAAGGCTAGCCCTCGCCATTTCACTTCTCTCACTCTGGCTTTACTTGTTACTCTACTTCATGATTGCTGGTTTGTGGCTTCGCTTCAGTTGTGTTTTGTTTTGGTTTTCGTGTGTCTTCAGGTTCGTTTTTGCCTTTTGCTCTCTGTCTATTGTCTATGGGGTTTGTTGTTTTCAACTTGTAAGTGTGGGAATAAACCAGATCTCTTTCGGACAACTTACGACTTGGCAGATAAAGCCCGAGGCCCTTTTACAGGTTTGATTGGCTAAATAAACCGGGTTTATTTATTTAAAGCCTGCTAGTAAGCCGAAAACACATTTGGTGCTCATTAGTTCTGATGAGCATCGCACGCTCATCACCTTGTGTGATGATCTGGGCCTTTCATTTTTTTTCAAATGATCCTTGCCATTGATATAAATTATTTTTTTAAATATTTTAATATTATATTTATAAAATAAAATATATAAAAATGATAAAAAAATTATAATACTAAACTGTTTTTTATATTATTAGCATATAAATATTATTATACTCATCACCCTTGACAAGATCTAGATCATTTAAATTTAAGCTTTTTACTTTTATTTTATATTTATTAAAATAAAAAATATGTAACAAAATATAAAAGTCTTTAATAAATTTGTTTATCACCAATCTGACCAGTACATGTTTAATCTGAATGACCCAATTTAATATTATTTTTAAATAATTTTTATAAATTAACTATTCAGATGTATCCTGAATAATATAGATATAATTTCAAAGGTCTAATTTAATATTAAATATTTTATAATTTTAGTTAATTGATTATCTTGATATACTCTTAAGAGTTCACATTTAATATTATAAATTTTTATAATTTTTATTTTGATGAATTTAACATAAAAATATTTTAAAAATAATTTTAAACCAATGGCAAATATCATATGAAACAAATTAAAGGGTTTAGATCACCCAATGGGGGTGATGAGGACCAAATGCGATCCCCTAGTAAGCCTGCAGGTTGGCATGTTTAAATATTTATTTATTTATTTATATTTTATATATTTCACTTACTTATTTTATACTCCTTCCATCCTAAATTATAGAGTACTTTTGAAGTAGTTTTTTCGTTTTAAAATATAAGACATTTTGAATAAATTAAAATTTCATTAAATGCACTAATTACAATATTACCCTTTCTCTTTTTACGATTAATTTTTGTCCTTTCTCTTTTTAATACATTGAATGATAAATATTTTGAAAAGTTTATATTTTTATTTTGAAAAGATAAAATTATTAAGTGTGTTTAATAAAGTTTATTAGTATGTAAGATTTTTGTCTAAAAGTGTTTTGTAATTTGAAATAGAAAGAATATTATAGTTTAATTTAATTTAAATTTAAATTACATATTTACTATACTAGCCCTACGTCAATTCATTCTCGTTTCCCTCGTCCTACCACATCAAATCGGCTCCTGGTTCCGCCTCAAACTTCACATTCTCTTCAAAACTTCTGAGAGCAGAGCACGGCGACTTCTCCCTTCCTCTCTCCTGATCACGGCGTTATCATTGAAAAAGAAAAGCACGAGTACTCAACGATCTCTTCGAATCTTGAGATCCAGGCTCGTGTTGCCGTTCTCACTCGCTGTTCAGATCAGGTTATCGTTGTCGTTCGCCTTGATGTCTGCTTCTTTCGCTTTGCTGCCCACTTCTCTTGTGTTGCCTTCTGCTTCTTTCATATTTTTGTTCGACGTTCTCTTCGCTGTTTGGCGTTCGTGTTACTGTCAAGGTTCAATTTACCTTACTCCTTCATGTTCGTTACCTTCCCTCTTCTGGTTTGATTTTTGCTGACATTTGGGTTCAATGATTGAATCCCCACAAGTCATCAATATTTATAAATAGAAAATAGTACTGTTTATTTTAAAATGTTAACAAATACACGGGCTATTGCAAGGGGTCTGTTTAATTAAGTCCGACCATGGGATTTGTTCAATATTCTTACATGTTTTACTATGCCTGGAGTCTTTGTTTATTTATTAATTGTTAGATTAATTATACTTTCCATATATGTGTTTTCGTTTAAAATACATGGCATGATTTATTTTTTTTTAAATTTTTTTTGACAAATATGGAGTCTATATGCTTTCAAACTTGGGTGGGTCAGCACTCAACACCGTATTCAAGGGTCTGTAAGAGTTGAGAAGGAGGGAAATGAAATCTGGCAAAGGAAAAGATGATGGAAATGTCTAAAGGATGCCAAATCTCTTGGGTTGGGCCAGGAAAGCGAGAGAAGAGTAAATGTTAAAAATAAATGAGAAGATTGTTAGGTACTGCTAGTGTTTTCTTCACCTTAAAAACATCTTTTTCATCTAGTTTGTTTAATCAAATAAAAGAGGGGCTTTTCCGAAAATTGATTACAAATCTATTGTGGCTGCGCAGTTTCTATGTTTTACTGCGCTATTAATGATTGAATTATTGAAACAATCGTGAACTGACCACACTAGATTCTTAGATGGTTTTCCACTTCTTAATGTCTTCTGAGTTGCTTGTTGTCAGCTTCTGCTCTTATTTGTTGTTAGACACCAACGGAAGAAACAAAAGTTATACATCGTTGATATGCTGTCATTGGTTAATTTCATTTTAATTGTATTCTTTTGGGAAAAAAAATTTTAGTTGTATTGTTGCTGAGATGTAAGTCTTTAAAATAATTTTTATTTAGATTTATTACACCTTTTAATTTCATTTAAATAACATGTAGGCTTTAAGCCTTTTAAACCTATATAAAATCTGAAATATGTAAGTTTTGAAGTTTACCAAAGCCTACATTTTTATGTAGGCTTAGGTTGGCTTGAAGTGTGCTTAAAGCCTCTGAGGCCTAAATTCAAAAGTCTTTTTAAAAAGGCCTACATATTAAGTAGGCCTTTAAAAGCCAAGCCAAGCCTATTACAGGATCAGGCTTGAGCCTAGGAAAAAAGCCTGCATGCAAGTTTAGGCCTAAGCTTAGGCTTGAGGCCCTGTTATATGCTCAAGTCTGTGTGGCCAAAGTTTGGCTTGATCTATTCCCACTCCTACTAGCTTGTAGCCTCCATTCCTATTTGATTTGCTGGCTTAGTAGCTCTCAGCTTCTGGCCACCTTGTGTAATGCACTTTGCAACTAAGAAAGGCGGGTGTTTCTTCTGTCTTGAAAATTTCCGCATCCACTCTGCTTCTGGTTGGTTCCCTACATGGTCCTATTACAGAAATGGGGATAAGAAAGTGCAAGTTGTATCTAGGATTGGTGCTAATCTAAGAATGATCTTTTATAATTTCACATGTGGGAACCTCCACTGTTTGATTAAGAATGAATCATATTTCATTATAGTCATCAGTACAAATTCTAGTGTTTATTGACAGCGAGATATGGGTATTTTACATCACTCATGTCTTCCATTGGTATCATCCACCATTATTTACCACTGTCAACTGGGGGAGAATCAAAGATTTTTGTTGGAATCAGATGTGTCATCTTCTTCAATAACCTTCCTTATCTACCTTCCTCCATGATCTTGCTTCATCTTCATTCCTATTTCTCTTATTTCTTTAATGTTTTGATCTTGAAAGAGATGCTTCCTTTTCTACCTATAAGCAAGCTTAACTGGTCTATGTTGTGTATTGTTGGTTAATTGCTGATTTTACATGTTGAAGATTCTACTTATAAGCAAGGTTATCAGTCTGTTGGATGCTCCGCAGTTTGTGTTAATTGAATAAGATGCTATGCTGTTGAAGCTTCAAGGAATTAATTAATTGATCATTGGAAGCTTTGCATTTGCTTTGATCAAATATGGTTTTGAATTGACTGTTATGATTGTTGTTTGTTGTAGTGGTTTTGAGCTGGATTAGTAGATGCTTTACATTTTAGAAATTATATGATATGCTGCATTGGTTCTGAATTATTTCTTTGCATTATTACATTATTGTTACCTTGTTTTGGCTTTGAACTTGTTTTGTTATGATTGCGTTAGGTTTTGTATGACATGACATTCTGTGGTGTCTTGGATGACTTGAAATGCTAAGATGAGGGTGATGAGTGGAGATGCTCTGGAAACTGTTGTGTAGGCAATCTGGATTCATAAAACTTTGGACTGCATATCACATTGAAACTCCACAGCCTTGAAGATCATAAGAAAAACCTAGCCCTTTCTTGTTCTTCTATGATGGCTCCGGCCTCAATTTTTCTCAGGGCCTTTCATTACTCAGGTTGCTATTAATCTACAAGCTAAGGTAAAAACGGTCATTATTTCAAACACTTTATGCAACTTATATAATTATTGGGTGATGAACATGTAATGCAAAGTTTTGGTATTTGCTGAGTTGTTGGCATCTTTACCAAATATGCCTTCTTGTTGTAGTTACTGGAAAATTAACTACTGTGATAATATTTTAGATGCTGGGAGTCTCTGACTTATGTACCTAATGTTTATGAAGAGGAAAAACAAGACCTTTATAAAATTAAAATTCCAATGGTATTTTGTACTCGTATAGTTTACATTTCTCATTGTGTTTTAGAGCACAACTGCTGGAAATATGTGGGAGAACATGGGATTTTGCAACCTGGCAAATTTGAAGTCAAACCGACTGGTCTGTGCAAAAGGGTTCAGACTGAATTGTTCAATTGATAGGGAGATGATCGTGAGCACATCGGCTTTGGTGGACAGTATTCCAGAGTGCTCAAGTGGTTTTTGCTATGTTTCTTTTGTTGATACTGTGTGTAAAATTTTTGTTTTATATGTAAATAGTTTCAACTTCTGTTTTGCAGAAGAAAAGACCATTGAGCCTAGTCTTTCGACAGTGTTAATGAATTTTGATAATGAGTTTGATCCTTATGAAGCAATCAGTACACCAATTTACCAGACTGCTACTTTTAAGCAGGTGAAAATTTGATCTGTACATGCTGAGCTCTTCAGTTATTGTGTATTACTATTTAGTATCTCTATTTCATGGTATTCTTTTCATATTTTACTTGTCTTCTATGCTTTTTCATGCAGCCTTCTGCAACAGAAAATGGTCCTTATGACTATACTAGAAGTGGAAATCCTACCCGAGATGCTTTGGAAAGGTCTGACCTGATTTGTTGTCTTGATTTTGTTCATATCTGTTTCTTCTTTCCATCCTCTTTTACTTGGCATATTTTGTATCCTCAGGTTACTAGCAAAGCTTGACAAAGCAGACAGAGCCTTTTGCTTCACTAGTGGAATGGCTGCTTTGAGTGCTGTTTGTCAACTTTTTGAAACTGGTGCATTTCCTCATCTTAGTCTATTTTGTATTTGTAATTCAAAGCTTCTAAAACAGTGCAAGCATGAAAATATATCTGTTTAAGGTAGTTTATCATAAAATTTGTTGAATAGATTCATATGGAAGTAATAAAAGGCCTATATGTAATTTGGATAATTGTTCGTAGTTAAGGGTAGTTAGGGAGTTTTAGTTACATTATGGTATTGTTTTCTGATATTTCCTAAGTCCTATAAATACTAGGTTGCTATCTCGATTGTACTTAGACTAATGGCATGATAGAAGTGTATTATTCAGCACAACACTAATTCCGTCCTCTGATTCTTCCTCTTTGGATCTGTCTATCCCCTTTTGAATTCTTTCTTTCTCAACTCTGTTTCCTTTCTCCATCTCTGTTCTACCCTCTTCTATTTATCTTAATAGTGGTATCAAAGCTAAGTTATCCTCGGCATCATGGATATGAAGCAACTTTCTCATAGAGCAATGGAGTCTAAAAATATAGCAGTAGAGCTTAAAAAGTTGAGTTTTATGAGGGAAGATGTGGCAGAGTTGAGAAATTGCTGTGGCAAGAATCATTCTTGGAAGATGCCCCAGTTGCTTTTATTGAAGATGGGTTTGGTTTAGTTCCCTTCCCACCATGCCCAAACGAGTTCATTAATGAGCAAGAATTATCTGCTGCACCAAAAGATTATGAGTTTTCCTTACCATTAGCACAAGTGTGCATGGAAGTGCAAGAATGGCAAGCCCAAGATTTCAAGACAGTTTCTTTGTGTGAATTCGAATATGGAATAGACTCGAGTAATCTCTCAAACTCTTTAGTAGTAGGGGTTGCCAATCCCGTCTGTCTTGGCTTACATTCTGGGACTTAAAGCTATTCACAACCGCAGCTAGGGTCAACTCAAAAGTCACTGTTGCCCCCTCTCTTTGTTTTCTTGTCACAGGTAGCGTCGCTATCTCCTACTATTCTTTTGGCCCCAAGATTTAATTTTCATAAGTAATTTTTGGAAGGAGTTCCTGAAGGTAATAAAGATTGAGCTAAAGTTGACCTCTTCCTACCGTCCACAGAGTAATGGGCAATTTGAAGTTTAAAATCGCTGTTTGGAAACATACTTTAGTTGTATGTGCTGGGAAAACCCTAAGGAATGGAGCAAGTGGCTATCCTTGGTTGAGTGGTGGTACAATACAACCTTCCACACTTCAACCAAGGCAACTTCCTATGAGTTACTTTATAGGTAGAAACCACCTATCTCTGCTCCATGTCTACCGAAAGAAGCTATAGTGGAAGTTGTTGATAGGAATTTTATTGCAAGAGAACACATTAATGTTCTCAAGCATCATTTAAGTCGAGCAGCCAATAGTATGAACCAAAAGGCTTTTTTAAAGAGGCCTGATAGAGAATTTGAGGTTGGTCAGTGGGTATTCCTGAAACTTCAACCCTATAAGCAGATTCTAGAAGTACTCAAACGCTAGCCTCATGGTTTTTTGGACCATATAGAGTGCTTGAGAAGATAGGGAAGGTTGCTGCAAGCTAGAACTTCCTCCTACATCCAGAATTCATTCAACTTGCCATGTTTCACTACTGAAATTGTGTCCAGATCCCTCAGTTAAGCAGAGACACCCCCCTGAAAATTGGCCAATAGAAGCTACAACTCTCATTCTGAAATATGTTCTAAATAAAAGGATTGGAATGCAAAAGGGCGGGTCATTACTGAAATTTTGATACAGTGGAAAGATAAACCTAATGAAGAAGCTACCTTGATGTCTTTATTCAATTTCCAAGAGCAATTTCTAGATTTTTCAATTCCCAACCCTTGAGGACAAGGGCCGTTAAAGGGGGCACTGATAAGGAAATAATAAATGACTTATATGTAATTTGGGTAGTTGTTGATAGTTAGGGAGTTTTAGTTACATGTTGGTATTGTTTTCTGATAGGGCTCGTTATTTTCCTAAGACATATATCCTTTAGTCCCTATCCATAAGGAACAGTAATTTGTGATCTTTTGTAATGATTAGGATCTTTTGGGTAGTATGGGCTTTGTGTCAGCCAGGATGAAGGTATTAGTAGTCTTTTGCCTAGGAAGGGATGGCCGAGGAGAACGAGAATGGAATTGTGAGGAGAGATTGGCCTCGAGTGCCAGTGGGAGTGAAACTCTTGTTTTGAAGCTTGTAATCTGTATTGCTGGTGTTATTGTTATCTTTTAGAGGAAATAGGGTTTTGGGCCAGAATTAGAGTCGTCTTGTAAATCTGATTCAGTTTATTCATCTCAATATCAAAACCTAAGTATTTTCCTCTCATATTTATTGCTATTGCTGTCTTATTTATTGTTTTTACTGTGATATTGGCTTGGGACACATTATTTAGTATCAAAGCGGTACAATCTCTGGGTGTTATGTGTAAGGAGTTATGGCAAAAAGGGTCTAATATTCTGATCTAGAAGTACAAGAATTGAAGGAGACTGTTGGGGTATTAACTATTAACCCGGGATGTAAGCGGTATTAAAGAAACATTGAAGACCATTAATCATGCCTGGTGCAAATAGAGAAGAAGATAGTAGGGCCACATGGAAATGAATAGGAAGGTCATGAGGAGGTTTTGGTGAGCAACACAGGAGGTGATACAGATGGAAGCAAATATAGAAAGTTAGAATTACCAATTTTTTTAGGCGAGGACCTTTTGGGATGGCTTTTTCGGGTGTAAAGATATTTTCATGCAAACTCTATCACAGAACAGGATAAGCTCGAGGCTGTTGTGGTATGTCTAGAGGGTAAAGCATTAAATTGGTATCAATGGTTGGAGACAAGGATACCCCTGAGTCAATGGACGGAGTTCAAGAGTGAGCTGCTACACAAATTTCGCTCCTCTTAGCTAGGGGGTGAATACGAGAGACTGTTCACAACCAAACAAGACAAGATGGTGCTGGAATTTGTTGAAGAATTCGAGCTCTTATCTGCACCGTTGAAGGAGGCCTTTGAAGAATGCTTGATCAGTGCATTCTGTTCTGGGTTAAAACTAGAGATTAGAGCCAAGTTGAAGTTAACGAAGACTCTTACATTACGAGAATTGATGGAGATGGCCGTGTGTATAGATGAGAGGAATTAGATACTTGGAGAGTATAGACAGCCTAGGGTTAACTGAGCCCAATGTCCTCAGTTTGGGCCCAAACCTGAAATGTTACAACCCACTTATTCTACACGAATTGCGCGTGTGATTGAAGGAAATCGCAAAGTGTATAATGCAGCATCTTCATTTGCCGAGAACTCGAAGAGAATGGACACTGAAACAGAGCACTCCAAAGCTGCGAGCTCTTTGATTGGGGATCATCAACGAAGAGGACCGGGAACTTGCGACGACTCTCTGACACTGAGATTGCAAGGCGACGTGAGTTAGGACTGTGCTTCAAGTGTGGAGATAAATATAGCCCAACCCACCAGCGCAAGAACAAGAACCTTTAAGTACTAATAATGGAGTTGGGGGCAGAAAAAGTGAGAGTGGAAGATGACACGGAGGCTGAACTTGAAGGAAGGGATTTCGAAAATCTTGATGGTAGGACACAGATGGAATTATCTCTCAATTCCATAGCTGGATTTGGTGATAATCACACCATGAAGGTTAAAGGGAGGATTGGAGGCACTGAAGTGGTTATTCTTATTGACAATGGCGCCACCCACAATTTTATTACTGAAGATTTACGAGTAAGTTGAAATTACCCTTTGATGAGATCTCTGAATATACTGTTACAGTGGGTGATGGGTTTGTTGTGAAAGGGAAGAAAAGATGTAAGGACCTCTGTTTGAGTGTTTAGGGGTGCCAAATTATCCAAACCTTCTATCCTTTCACGTTGACAGGGGTTGATGTGGTCTTGGGAATGGAGTGGTTGAAGTCCTTGGGAGATGTGAAGGTCAACTAGAGTGAGGTAACAATGGAGATTGGCAAGAAGGAAAAGAGAATTTGCTTACAGGGTGATCCATCTCTCACTCGGGCTTAGACTACTTTCAAATCATTAATTTGCTGTAGGAAAGAAAGTGGAGGGGTTTCTAATTGAATATAATGGGCTCACTGGAAGTGATGAAAGTACTCTCATTTTAAGTCTTGAAATTCAAGAGTTATTGGAGAAGTTTCCTACTGTCTACCAAGTTCTTGAAGGTCTACCTCCACTCCATTCACAAGATCATGCTATTATTATTAAACTTGGAGAGCAGCCACCGAACATAAGGCCTTATCGATACCCCCATATGTAGAAGAATGAAATAGAAGACTTAGTGAAGGACATGTTAAAGGCCGGAATTATTCAGCCAAGCAACAGCCCTTGTTCAAGTTTGATGGTGGTGGTCAAGAAGAAAGATGGAAGTTGGAGGTTTTGTGTTGACTATAGAGCCTTAAATAAAATTACAGTTCCGGATAAATTTCCTATTCCAGCCATAGATGAGCTATTGGATGAATTGAAGGGAGCCACAATTTTCTCAAAGCTGGATTTGAAGTTTGGGTACCACCAGATTCGAATTAAGGCTGGGGATGATCACAAAACAGCATTCAGAACACATGAAGGACATTATGAGTTCAAGGTGATGCCCTTTGGATTAACCAACGCTCCCTCAACTTTTCAATCTTTGATGAATGAGGTATTCAGGGAGTATTTACGCAAGTTTGTATTGGTATTTTTTGATGACATTCTTATGTATAGTGATGACCTAACTACTCATTTGAAGCATTTGGAGATTGTATTAACTATCCTGGAGGAAAATCAGCTTGTGATTAATTTGAAGAAATGTAGTTTTGTGCAACTGAAGATTGAATACTTAGGGCATCTCATATCAAAAGAAGGAGTTAAAGCTGATCCAGCCAAGATAGAGAGCATGGTGAAGTGGCCAAAGCCTAAGAATGTGAAATCCTTGAGGGGTTTCCTAGGCCTGACCGTGTACTATCGTCAATCTGTCAAAAATTGTGAGAAGATTGCTAGCCCTCTTACTGATTTACTAAAAAAAGATTCTTTCAAGTCGTCATTGGAAGTAGAAAAGGCTTTTAAACAGCTCAAAACTGCCATGACTACACTATCAGTGCTCGCAATGCCCGATTTTACCATTCATTTGGAGTTAGAAACTGATGCTTCCGGTACCAGTGTAGGGGCAGTTTTGATGCAACAATGCAGACCTGTGGCATATTTTAGCCAAAAGCTCTCACATAGAGCCCAACAATGCTCTATTTATGAAAGAGAGCTCATGGCTATTGTTATGGCAGTGCAAAAGTGGTGCCATTACCTTTAGGGGCATAAATTCATCATCCATACAGATAAAAAAGCATTGAAATACTTGCTGGAGCAGAGAGTGGTTGATGAAAATCAACAGAAATGGGTCTCAAAATTAATGGGCTTCAAGTTTAAGATTATATACAAGCTTGGTAAAGAAAATAGGGCTGCTGACGCTCTATCCAGAAGAGAAGAATCACTGGAACTAATGGGCTTTTCCTTATGGCAATATAATGATGTGGAAGAATGGGAGAAAGAGGTGCAAGCGGACCCAAAATTGAGCAAAATTCTACAGCAAATCATAACTAATAATAAAGGGGTGGAAGGGTACAGCTTAGTCCATGGCTGCCTATACTATAAAGAGATATTAGTCCTACCAAAAAGCTCCACCAGAATCCCCTTGTTACTGAAGGAGTATCATGATTCTCCAATAGGGGCGCATTCGGGCTGTTTACGCACCTACAAGAGGCTATACAATGTGGTGTACTGGGAGGGAATAAAAAGGGTTGTTCAGCAATATGTGGCGAGTTGTGAGGTCTATCAAAAGAATAAATACCAGGCTTTAACTCCTGCTGATCTGTCACAGCTATTAACCATTCCACAAAGCATTTGGGAAGATATTAGCATGGATTTCATCACTGGGCTTCCTAAATCAAAGCGGTATGACATCATTCTAGTAGTAGTGGATAGACTCGCCAAATATGCTCATTTTTTCCCCTTGCCCACCCTTTTTCTGCAAAGGATGTTGCTGAAAAGTTTGCGACTGAGGTTGTGAAGTTGCATGGTTTCCCTAAAACCATAGTTTCAAATCAAGATAGAGTTTTTCATTAGCCAATTTTGGCAAGAATTGTTCAAACAAGTTGGAACTCAACTTTGCCTTAGCTCATCTTATCATCTAGAATCTAATGGACAAACAGAGGTGATAAATAGGAGTTTGGAGACTTCTTGCGTTGTTTTGCTAATGAAAAGCCTACTCAACGGGCTAAATGGTTGGCTTGGGCTGAGTATTGGTACAACACTTCATTCCACAATGTGGCTGGCATGAGACCTTTTAAGGCAGTATATGGTAGGGGTCCTCCTACATTTTTAAAATTTAGTGGCAAACCTTGAGTTGTGGAAGATATGAATGAACAGATTCAAGTTCAAAATTAGATCATTGAATAATTACAGAGAAATTTAGCTAAGGCTCAAAGTGAAATGAAGGCGCAAGCTGAAAAGCATCATCGGGATGTGCATTTTGAGAACGGCAACTTTGTTTATGTGAAGCTTTGACCTTATCGGCTAAAAACCTTGGCCAGGGGGAGCAATGAGAAGCTCTGCCCGCATTTTTATGATCTTTCAAGGTTCTTGAGAAGATCAGAATAGTGGCCTACAAGCTGGAACTTCCAATCACCACCTACATTCACCCCGTATTTCATGTTTCTTAGCTCAAGCAAATGGTTTCGGCTGCTGTGGTACATCCTACCATTCCTCCATTGCTTTCTAATGAGCTTGAATTGCGAGTGCAGCCTCAAGATATTAGGAAGGTTTGCAGGCTTATGAATGGACAGCGGGAAGTGTTGGTTAAATGGCAAGACTTACTTGAGTTTGAGAACTCTTGGGAATGTGCAGAGACAATTTACAAATAGTTTCCAACTTTTCCCCTTGAGGACAAGGTGGAACTTTTAGGGGAGGGTAATGATAGGGCCTGTTATTTTCTAAGACATATTAGAGGAAGTCAAAGGGGAAGAATAACTCTAATGGAAATACTTTAACTGTTCCAGAAGCTTATCCTTAAGTCCCTAGCTGTAAGGAACAGTAATTTGTGATCTTTTGTAATGATTAGGATCTTTTGGGTAGCATAGGCTGTGTGTCAGCCAGGATGAAAGAATTAGTAGTCTTTTGCTTGGGAAGGGATGGCTGAGGAGATTGAGAATGGAATTGTGAGGAGAGACTGGCCTTTCGAATGCCAGTAGGAGTGAAACTCTTGTTTTGAAGCTTGCAATCTCTGTTACTAGTGTTATTGTTATCTTTTAGAGGAAATAGGGTTTTGGGCTAGAATCAAAGTCTTCTTATAAAATTGATTCGGTTTATTCATCTCATTAATATCAAAACCTAAGTATTTTCCTCTCATATTTATTGTTGTTGTTGTCTTATTTATTGTTTTTGCTGTGATACTGGCTTGGGACACATTATTTTCTCATATTTCCTAAGTCCTATAGATATTAGGATTGCTATCTCGATTGCGCCTAGACTAATGGCATAATAGAAGTGTATTATTCAGCACAACATTGATTCCCTCCTCTGAATCTTCCCCTCTCTATCTCTCTATCCCCTTCTGAATTCTTTCTTTCTCTACTCTGTTTCCTTTCTCTATCTTTATCCTACCCTCTCTTCTATTTTCCTTATTATAGATTTTATTTTTTTGGCACTGCGTATCTCACAAACTGGGGAATTCAGTATGAGTTGACTTGAGTTTGAGACAGCATGAGAAAAGAGAGGATACAACAACAACAACAACAAGCCTTTATCCCACTAGGTGGGGTCGGCTACATGGATTGCAAGACGCCATTGTGCTCTATCATTTATCAAGCTTTTAGGGATATTATTAATTAAAAGATCGTGTTCAACAACTTCTAAGAGTGTTTTCTTAGGCCTTCCTCTACCCCTCTTAATCGGACTCAAAGTTATATGTTCCACTCTTCTCACTGGTGCCTCCCTTGGTCTTCTTTGTACATGCCCAAACCATCTTAACCGATTTTCTACCATTTTTTCCTCAATAGGTGCTACCCTCACTTTTTCGCGTATGTGCTCATTTCAAATTTTATCTTTACGTGTATGTCCGCACATCCATCGTAACATTCTCATCTCTGGTACTCTAACTTTATGCTCTTGTTGTCCCGTTAGAGCCCATCATTCACTACTATAAAACATTGCCGGTCTGATAGCAGTGCGATAAAACTTTCCTTTAAGTTTATTAGGCACCTTACGGTTGCAAATAACTCCTTTAGCTTTTCTCCAATTAAACCACCCAGCTTGAATCCTATGTGAAATATCTCCACTGATTTCGCCATCATTTTGAATAATGGCTCCCAAATATCTAAACTTTTCCACTTGAGGTATAATTTGATCTCCCAATTTCACTTTCAAATTATTGTCAAATAGTCTCTTACCAAATTTACAATATAAATATTCAGTGTGTTTTTTTGACTAACAGAAGTCTCTTATTCATAGTGAGCCTAATACAACATAATAATGGCCAATAAAGACGGAACAATTACAAAATCAAATCTCTCAGATTATGTATGATCATTCCTAATTCCTAATCAAATGTAATCAATCATAATCAACAATAAATTTAAGCATTTTTGAGTCTGAAAAGTAAATACTGAAGTTTGTAGATAATTCGATTCAAATATTATGTGCAATGAATAAGTCCATAACAGTACAATAAATCAAAGTTATTTTTTTAAATTATTAAGCTTTCTTCATTATATATTGATACAAATGATCTTTTACATTTTGTCTTTGTTTTTCATTTATTACTATGCTAGAGATGACATTTGATAATTTAAGTATTTATTCAGGTTTGAAATTATAACATTAAGTGGTCGTGTTTATGTATTTTATTATTTTTTTCTTGATAAACTTCACATGTTGGAATACATATAACTTTATTTTCATTATAGAAATATAATGGATATATCTTGTCCATATCTTCTCAATGTTTTCATTGGAGATCAAGTGTTCTGAACTGATTGCTTTTATTGTCATTTACTTGAATAATCTCACGCAGGTGATGAAATTGTAGCTGGAGATGATATCTACGGTGGTTCAGATAGGCTATTGTCGCAAGTAATTCCAAAGTCTGGAATTGTGGTGAAGTAAGTGTGATTTTTTGGCTTTTCAGATGTTTATTCATGTGGGTTAGTGGATTATGAAACAAAACTATTGTTGGATTTATTTGATCCCAAGAATTATTAGCTTTCACTGATGATGTTGTAATGCTTGCGCTCACAGACGAGTAAATACAAGTGATCTAGAGGAGGTAGTCTCTGCCATTGGACCTTGGACTAAGTTGGTGTGGCTGGAGAGTCCTACCAATCCTCGCCTACAAATATCTGATATTCGAGTAGTTGTTTTCTTTTGTAAGTTGAGAGTGTTTTGTTTTTGTCGTCTTTGGAGCTGTTATAAGTCAACTTATCAGCATCTTCAAAGAAACTTTAATTACTTTGGTTGCAAATACAGAAAGTCCTAGTGCAAGTGACAGCTTTTTTCACAATATATATTTGAGGTTCATATTACACCTGTGAAGGAAAATGTCATTTTATTATTATTGCTGCTTTTGTTATTTTAGTTTTTTGGTAATGTGATTGGTCTCGATTTTTCTGGCTAGAGGTTTATTGGATTCTCCTATTTCTCACTTGTCTCTGATATAATTATTCTTGATACAGTAGCAAGATAAACTCATAAGTATGATAAAAAGAACATTATTATTTCAATATATATTGTATTTGAACTTGAATATTTTAAGCGTCACAATATTGCATTTCAATATAGATTGCATTTCAAGTCTTAGTAGATAGCTACAAGTGTGGAAAATGAAGGAAAATTGCCACATTCAGGGACCCACTCCTTGCACTTTGAGAGGCTAGATTTTTCAACACACAGGGTACATGCCTCCTGCCTCTATCACTGCACTCACCGCCCTATATTTTACCTGACTAATTCTCCCTATCCAACTGCCTTGACAGTATAGGGTTAGTAGTTGCCTCTCTGCCCTCTATAATATCGAGCCCTTATCCCTTTGTTGTTCTTCCTTGTATAAGATATCAAAGGCCCATCAGTAGTTTTCTTGCCTCTTGCAAAAATATAGAACAAAAGGTCCACGCCTGTAAAATTCTTATATAGTTCTCGTATGGACCCCCTTAAATAATATGTATGATATGAACTTGTAGCAGGGAATTCTTTTGAATGGTTTAATTCAATGTTTAAAAATTTCTTTGATTTGCTGATTTATGTCCAGAAAATAGCAGAGATGGCTCATGCACGTGGTGCTCTTGTATTGGTGGACAATAGTATTATGTCTCCTGTGTTATGTCAGCCTTTGGAACTTGGAGCAGGTATTCATATAACCATATTGCAAGATAATGAAGTGTAATTGGATTTAACAACCTAATACTCTCTCCACCTCAATTTATGGACACTTTTGGAGAGATTTGACATTCTAAAATATAAGACACTTTGACAAAAATAAGGTTTCATATGATGTTTTTTCAATTTTACCTTTCCCATTATATTCTCTCTTTTTTTTTTTTAAAGATAGAGTATTTAAATGAAGGGCATTTTTGAAGTTTATATTTTTATTTTGAAAAAACGTTATAAAGTGTGTTTAATGAGTTTTGTTTACTAATGTTGACTGTTAGAAATATTAATTGGGAATTTAACGGAAAGTGAAAAAATGCTCAGTTTTAATTACTTTAAAGGCAAAATTGCTCTAGCCAATAGTTTAAGGCGTTTGGTGCTCTTCGGAGAATACTTCAAGGGGCAAAAATGTACCTTTATCCATTTGTTTTTTGGGCCAAAATCCTAGGAATTTGTTGAAAACACCCTGTATTTTACATTTAAAACAAAAAGGGCAAAGGAATTTTCTACTAAGTGACGGCCACATTTTCCCCCTTTTGCAGATATTGTTATGCATTCAGCAACCAAATTTATTGGTGGACATAGTTATATCATGGCTGGTGTCGTTGCTGTGAAAGGCAAAAGGTTGCAGCTCTTATTCTCTCTGTCTCAAACATCCATGATGTTGTAGATTTTGATTTGTTTGCGAGCCATTTTGTCAATCTGTTATGCCACAGGGAATTTGTGAACTAAATTTCAATTCAATGGCAAATTTTTCTGATGAGTTTGTGATGCATAATATTTGATGTGCTTGTAATCCTTAAAATTAAGAATGAAATACTCTTACTGCTCTTTCTTTCGTTATTCTGTTTTTTTTTTTCCCTAATCGCCTTGTCTAAGTCACTGTTCATGTGTTAAGTTATATGTTGTGAATTATTTCCCATTGTATTTTTAATTTCATTTTATTTTCCATCTGTTTTATGTATATTTTTTTAATTCATTTACAAATGTGGATCAGTACTCTGAGTTTCCTCAATTTTTTGCCTTTGATCATCATCCTGTAAAGGTTGGCAAAAGAAATGTACCTTTTACAAAATGCAGTGGGTTCAGGCTTAGCTCCATTTGACTGTTGGCTCTGTTTGCAAGGGATCAAAACAATGGACCTGCGACTTGAGAAGCAACAGGTACCTGCGTTACTAAACATTCTAAGTTACTGATTTGTAGTTTCTAGTCTAAAGAATGGTTGACTGTAATATCTGATTATCTGAATGTACAGCATGGCTGTCTTCCTCCTAATTTATTTACCTTGAGTACAACTATTTGATAAATTGGTTAGTCCACATAGCCACTTGTAAAACACACACACTCCAAAAATGAAAATATATAAAAATTTTAGAGGCTTGTTAATGTTCTGAACTAATTGGTTTGTTCACTAATGACTTGTTATACTTGGATTGTGTGGTTTGCTGAAACTAAAATTTTGAATAATGTCATGAATCTGTGTTTTTCAGAATCAGATTGTTTCTCTAAGCTTTCATTTTAAATTTCAGTGCTATCATAACTGCTATCCAGCATCATTATTCGTTTTTATTGAAAAACAATAATAGTTAGAGACAACATACTTTGCAGAGGAGTGCACAAAAGATCGCTGAATTTCTTGCCTCCCATCCCCGAGTAAAGAAAGTAAACTATGCCGGTCTTCTTGGTCATCCTGGACGTGACCTGCACTACTCTCAGGTATGGTTTACCTGTGAAATTCAATATTTTTCTTTATATTCCTGAAATGAGTTTATATATTCATCAGGCTCTTGTTTTGCAGGCAAAGGGGGCAGGATCAGTGCTTAGCTTTTTGACAGGCTCTGTGGTACTCTCAAAGCATGTTGTTGAATCTACCAAATACTTCAGCATAACTGTCAGTTTTGGTAAATATTTTTCTGCCTTTGCTCTAATTGAAAGAGTTTTGAATTGCTAATATAAAAATAGGCTTGAATGTATTTCTAAGCAACTTAGACCCTATAGTTCAAATTTTTGTAATCTTCTTTCTCTCATTATACAAAAAAGAAGAGTAATTAAAGACAATTTTTTAGTTTCTTAATTCCATTTTTTTCCCTCCTTAAAGAAGGTTATATCTTGTCCTTCCTAATTCTTTTGATCTAAAAATTAGGGTGCAACAATGCTCTAATTGAAATTAAAGGGACTTAAGGAATCAAAATTATATATAATTGTTTTGTGATGGTTTCTCTAAGTTTTCTGTCTGTTAAGGCAATGAAGGCTTATTTGGTTATGACTTAGTGGGCCTTCTTCTTCTTGTTTTTTTAATTGCCAACGTTGGTCAAATTTAAAACCTTAGTTTATTTGTCTTATTTTATTTTCCTTGAGGCTTAAAGAAATGAAAACACTAGAGGAAAAAATAATGGTAGTTGGTGAAATGATGAATGGGAGGAGGAAGAATGTGATAAAATAAATCCTTAGGTAGTGTTTGGGATTTTTTCATTTTCTAGGATTGAATGAAATGGAATAGGATGATTAGAAGTTTTATACCATTGTATAGAAAAAGTTTTTTGAAAAATGGGTGGAATGGCTTGGGATGGCCTTCTAAACTATCATTAGCCATTCAAAATCCATTTTTTAATTCCCTGATCTTGCAATTTGAGAGGTTGATTATGGAATGATCTAATATAAGTAACATTATTATAAAATTACTCTCATGCTTCTGACCTCCTCACTCACTCCTTGTCACTAAAACTAGAAAAACATAATTATAACTAATTCAAATATATTGAATTTATAATAATTCTTAAATAATAATTAAATAAAATTGTTCATTCCTCTAATGGAACTTTGGGAGAATGACAATTAAGGATCTGTTAAGAACATTAATCCCAATTACGGACCGTGAAATTTTGAAATCCGAGTTAAGGACCATAGTCCTTAATTGTGATAAAAAAAATGAAATTTGTGAGGTGGGATTCACTAACGCGACTTGGGAATTCACTAACCCAACTTGAGAAAATTACTAACGTATATTGTGAAAACATGAAACCCTACTTGGAAATGGAATGTTTAACAAAAAGCGTCACTTGAGAATTCACTAACTAGACTTGAAAAAATTTCTAACGTATATTGTGAAAAAATGAAACCCCACTTGAGAATCATTAATAAAAAGTGACTTATCCAAATTGGTGTGCAAATCGGTGTTTTTTATTAAACAATCATTAATAAAAAGTGACTTATCCAAATTGGTATTTTTTATTAAACAATCGATTCTCAAGTGAGGTTTCATGTTTTCACAATATACGTTAGAAATTTTTTCAAGTCTAGTTAGTGAATTCCCAAGTGGCGCTTTTTTAAACATTCCATTTCCAAGTGGGGTTTCATGTTTTCACAATATACGTTACAAATTTTCTCAAGTTGGGTTAGTGAATTCCCAAGTGGCAATAATGAATCCCACCTCACAAATTTCATTTTTTTTATCACAATTAAGGACCATGGTCCTTAACTCGGATTTCAAAATTTCACGGTCCGTAATTGGGATTAATGTTCTTAGCAGGTCCTTAATTGTCATTCTCTCCAAAACTTTTAAACAATGGAATGTTTCATTCTATCCCACTCCACTCCAGTCCATTCCATTAGTTAGTGATCATTTTTTTTTCATTTCATCATGTATTCTTGAATATAGTTGTGTGGCTGTTATCTATTTCTATGATGAAGAACTTTTTTGAATTCTGATTACACGGTCACCCAACACAGATCCAACTCGCTCTTGTTCTGCATGTATCCGAACCATCTCGCACTGGATTTGTACTTTTTCCTTTTTTTTCTCCTGCCTCGGATTATTCGATTGCCAATCCTTGCTTGGACATCTAGATATCATTGTTCACAAAGGAGGTTTTGTCCGATTGCTCTCTAAGGAGAATCAAGATGTCATTGATCAAGATGTTCATCATCTGCTTTGCCTTTTTTGTTTATGTATTTATCACCAAGCATACTTTTTCTTGGTCCCATGACTCTTTTATGAGGTCTTCCTTTTCATTAGTGACTTTTACTTTGCAATTACCTTTTATATTATTAATATCATTTTGACTTTTTTCCCAAAAAAAAATGACGGAAAATTCTAGTAAGGGATGACTTAGAGGTAAACTATTTAAATTATTTAATGAATACTCACAAATATGATGCTTTAAATCTTGATGATGTGTTAGTAACTGACTGACTCAAAGTTGAATTGTGACTTAGAGATAATTATTTAAATTATGATGCCTAATGAATGTTTGTTTGCCTGCAAAATTCTGATCTTGTGAATTTTTTTGTCAGGGAGTGTAAAGTCTCTCATAAGCATGCCATGCTTTATGTCTCATGCCAGCATACCTGCATCAGTTCGTGAAGCTAGAGGCTTAACTGAAGATCTTGTGCGTATTTCTGTGGGGATTGAGGATGTTAATGATCTTATTGCTGATCTGGACAAGGCACTCTCATCTGGGCCTCTCTAGTTTTATAATAACTAATCCCAACATTGGTGAGTCCGGTTTCTGTCCACTGTTCCTCCACAGTAGTTTTGAATTTTAACGGTACATAATAATTTGTATTTTTTTTTAAACTATCAAATTTCATTATACGACTTATCATTGGAGAGAAACAGTATTCAACATTGACATCTTGATTGCTTCAAAAAATAAATAAATGAGTAAATAATAAAATGATAGTATCGTATCGATTTGATTTTGGATGTTGATGACTTTAAGTAGTTCCATTATATTTTTTCCATTTCTTTTAGGAAAAATTACTTATAGGCTCCATGGTGTAACTTATTTACAAATAAGTTTTACGAAATTTAGAAACCACAGTGAAGTCTTTTGAGACTTGAAATTTGAAATTAGGGTGTAAAGATAATAATGTCCTTGTTAAAATATATTATATCAATCAAATAATGTATGATTATTTTATTAATAATTTACAACTATTACTTTAACTTTTTATAACTCTTAAATCTGTAATTTCATATTTTTATATTAAATATTCAAACTTTTTAACTATTAGATATATAAAGATATAATTGTAAAAAGTTGAAGTGATATTTGTAAATTAGTGATGAAATAGTTATAAATAATTAGTGTTAAATTTTTTAATAATGCATGATGGGTTGAATTATTAGATATGTAAAGTAAAAAGTTGAAGTAATGGTTATAATTAATTGATGAAGTATTTATAAATTATTTAATTAATATAATGTATTTTTAATAAAAGTATTATTGTCTTTTGACCCCAACTTCAAATTATATTCAAGTTCAAATGGAATTTGGATGTAAGTTTTAAATTTCGTGAGATTTATTTGTAAATAAATTTGCTCTACGAGATTTATATGTAATTTTTTCTTTCTTTTATGTCATGTATTTGCATTAGGTTGTCAATGTTTCAATTTTGCTTATTCGTATAAGTTTAGGATAAGCAGTAAGCAAGTTATTTTTATCCTTGCTTAATGCTTTCAGTTAAAGGCAAATGGAAGGGAGGGGAAGGGGATTCTAATGGGTTTGATTTTAAAAAAAATGGAAATGTGTGGTTAAAAGAATTTGATTAATTTCCCTTATTTAATTTACATATTTCTTTTATTAAAATTTTATAATGTGAGAATGACAAATAAGAACGTTATAAAAATATCAATGTTAAATTAAGATTTTTTAATATTGACGTTTTCAAATTTTAATACTCCTTTTATCATGTTTCAATATTAAAGTTTTTAATTTAGTATTAATATTCTTACAAAATCTTTACTTATCATTTTTCTTTTTATAATCCCATTCGTTCATTTTTTTTTTTAAGAAATTGAATTTATTTGGATATCCAGTCTTGTTCCCTCTCACCTTTTTTCCCACGAACCCAACCGGCGGCTAGACTTTGTGAAGATAATTATATTATGACGTGCATATCAATGAAGAATGCAAGTATGATGATAAAGTCCCAAAATCAATAATTTATCACGGTTAAGTTCTCGACTAAATTTTTTAAATAATAAGTTGTAAATATAAATTTAAATAATTACAAACAAAAATTTTAATTGTAAATTGAGTTATATTTAAATTTAAATATTTTATTTTTAATTAAAATTTTTGAATTTATGACTGTTTGAATTGATATTTATAATTAATTTTTTTAAAAAAAGTATTGTTGAAGACCTATTTGTTATAAATTTATTATTCTAGGACTTTAATCTCGTTCTGCCATGAAGAATGTGAGCTGTAAGGGAGATTGTGCTATTTGCCTTGCTAGAGTCCTTTAATTGTGTTAGAATTTTATGTGAAATCCTAAACTAGAAATAATTATATCATGATTGTAGATGGAGGAATTATTTCATAGACTTGATACATCATGTCATTTGTATACTATTCAATAAAAACATGCAATGTCAAATAGAGAAAAGATAATAAATAGAGAAAAGACAAAAAATTAAAGAGGCATTTAATTTAAAAAATAAAGTCATTAAAAATAATGATATAAGATTTTATTTAATTGGTGTAATTTTATTAGATAGAGCATGGATGATGTGATAATTATGGTCAATGTCAGAATTTCTCTTGAAGATGATAGAAAATGCTATTAACATAAAGGCTATCTAAACAGAAATAGAAAGTTAGGTAAATTTGGAGAAAATTATCATTTAGAATTTTAAATGAAATCTGCTCATAGTGAAATGTTTTAAATTATAAACAGATTCTAGACAAAAGTTTTAGTTTGAAGTTTTAAATTATAATTTTTATGCGCAGTTGAAATTTATTTGAGATAATTTAAAGTAGTTTTATAGCTTAAATTTTCTTTGACACTGTTACATTGAGAAATTAAAACTTGTTATCTTTCTGTAAGTGTATTTAAATTTTAAGTTACTATCACGTTGAGAGAAATAAAACTTGTTCAATAAAATTTGACTTTCTTTCAAAATTGGCCACAGAAATAAACTTGTTATCTATGCGTGCGCGTGCTTAATTTCTTTTTCCCCCCTTTTTACTATTCATATTGAGAGAAATAAAACTTGTTACCTTTGTTTCGATTGATTTAGTGAATCTAACTTGATTTACGTAAGTTATAAACAATTTAGTTTACATGGGAAAATGACAAATAAATCTCCAAGAAATAGGCAAATGATAAAATAGTAATACAAAATTGGATAATTACTCTGAAGTCCTTAAAAACTCATGTTTTAAAGCAAAATTATGTTTCTCACTCTACAAAATAATACAAAGCACAGTTGTTGAAAGGAAATGTAGTTATTGCATGATGAAATTGATATTATGATCAACTTGATTGTTAATATTTAAACTGGAATTATTAATCACTAAGTTGAAGTTGTTATATTTGGAAACCTACTTATTATCGTATAACTATTTCATTAGTAAGGGAGAAAATATTTAAAGAGAATCACATTTAAGAACTGACAAAAAACTTATTCACAAACATGAACTAATAACAAGTCATATTCTGTATTGGTTCTTGTTTGTTTAATGTCCTTTCAAACATTATGATTTGGGATCCCAACTTAAAATATTTAAAAATCATTTCCAAAGTATTCAAATTATATAGTAATACATAGTAAAAGCAACAAAATCATGCATGCAAAGCATTGGAAGAAAACATCAATTCACAACAAAACATACCCATGAGACGCAGCATGTGGTACAGAGGCATAGGCTTTAGATCTATGCCATGCACTACAGTAGGCTTCACATGCGTTGCAGTGCACATATATGATTATGTTACCAGTTTAGCAGTTCTGACATGAACTTCAGACATGCACCGTTTTTACATTCAACATTTGATTGGAGTGGTTCAAGCGTCCACACGAAGCTTATTTCAAAATCTAACCGATGACACTATTTTCATTCAAATCCAATATTCCATTTGAAAATTGAACACTTGAGTGCAATTTAACCATTCCAAACCAAATTTCCCCACTCCAAGCACCTCAATTACAAACCAAATATCATTGGCCAACTCTAGAGCCTTGATCACATCTAATAGGACAACACCTGAATGACCATTCACATACATAATATCATGCGTATACACAAGTTTAGCTAGTAGACTACCTATTACACACACTCTTGGGCAAAATCACAATTTTCATATTCACATTTTATCACACTTCAAGTTCACACACATACATCTGTAATAATTCCCTAGCCCACATCACAACATTCACCTCAATTACAGATATACACAAGTAATAGGGTTAAATACAAAATCACACACATATGCATTTATGATATCATGTACATCTACACATTCCTATGGCAACTTATATACACATATAAAATCTATATCACACATATTCATTACACCAACCCCTTTTTTTTAATGGGCTAAATAGAGAAACTCTCTAATCATGGCCCGTATCTTTTCCTTTTGCACCTCTAGTGTTTGAACTTGTAAAATGTAAATAATTAAGAGTGAGATGATAATCTCAATAACCAAAATAGAGCATTCAATATTTATTAATATGAATAACCACATAATAGTAAACAAAACCATTGAAATGACCATAATTACTATATATATGTATAATTTTCACTTTACAAAATACTTTTCTAATGATCACATACACTAGTATAATCATCTATCTACCAAATCTCTAAACTCCTTGACTAAAACCATAGACTCAAATGAATCAATCACATAGTGACTCAAGCAAAAATTTAGTGGTAGAAACACCTAGCTAAAGGCATTTTATTCCACTTCTAGACTATAGTTTCTCCCATCACACACACATGGTAGGGGTGTCATTGACTCCTAACCACATCCTTGTAGGCATTAGGGAGTTGCCAGGCTACCCTCAATCCCAATATAATGTTGTACTGGATGTCTCATGGTGCCAACCCAATATAATTTGTTGCACCAGATGTCCCATGGTGTTAGCTGGACCATATGGATTTTCACACACACATCTCCACACATACCCCTCCACATAAACACATGGTGAACTCCCACCCTCTACTATGATCACACTCTTATCACATTCACATCACCACTCCCACATATAACATACACACACACATATATATACATAACAATTTCATTCATTCGTCATAAATAATCAAATGAGCATTTCAAAATGCTTATTTAAACTTAAGAAAGGTTACCCATAGTACAACCTGCTCACTTAAACTCCTTTTTGCTTATTCAATGCATTACACACAATAATTTACACAATGTTAGCACCCAGAGTCAATTGTCACACTGACTAAAAGTATTAATAATGACACTTAACATCCAAGCATTACATATTACCTTTCCTAAGTCCATTTCCACCTCTTTAAACCCATTTATCACTTATTTCTAGATTTTGTCTATTCTTTATTACTAAATTCTACTAATTTAAGCCTACAACTTCAAAGCTCTACCACTGACTTCCAAACCAGTTACAAAGCCTTAGTTTAACTCTGAAAAGTCTTTTTCTTATGATAGGGTAAGAAAAGAACCCCTTTAAACTTTCAAAATCAATTTCCTAAGAGCATAAACTAAGAGAAATTAGTGTAAAATAAGAGGTTAAGGTGGTATGAGACTTACCTGATAAGTGACAAGTCAGAAAAATCTCCTGAGTGGCCATAAAGCCATAAAGCTTTGTCCTGTAGCTCCCTCTCTTATCCACTCTCCCATGTCCTTTTCTTTTTCTCTTTCCTCTAGTCTCACGAGTTGATCCATGAAATTAAAG